TATAATGCTGCTATTCATCTTTCTTTTTACCTGATCTGAACCGATCCGTTTCTGACCTCAACCCGAGACTGTCCTGAACCTGATCTGATTTTGAAATTGATCTGAATCTGATCTCTACCTGACCTGGCCTGAAACGTCCTGAGCCCGACTTGAGACACACAGACAGAGAGAGAGAGAGAGAGAGAGAGAGAGAGAGAGAGAGAGAGAGAGAGAGAGAGAGAGAGAGAGAGAGAGATTATTTATGTGAGTGAGTGTTTGTGTGTGTAGGGGATTGTGATGACGTCACATGCGACATTAACTATTATTTGCCATTATTTACATAGCCTGGGGAGTACTAGCCCATCAGAAAATGATTCTCCAAAACTCTGAATGAACGAGGTTACACTGAACATTCGTCAAGTTAAAATGTTTCATTACAAACTCAACATGCATCAGTTAAGTTTATCGCTGAATCCTCGCCACAATAACGGTATCTACTTACAGTGCTTGTTAAGTTATCACTTCTACCTCCTCGACTCCCTTGTAGCGTCCCCAAGAGAGGTAATTACCGAGAGAGAGAGAGAGAGAGAGAGAGAGAGAGAGAGAGACACACACACACACACACACACACACACACACACACACACACACACACACACACACACACACACACACACACACACACACACACACACACACACACACACACATTGAGTAGTATACACAGAAGTTTATATCCACCAATAATAGGATGCCCGACCTATGATATTCTCCAGCTGGAAGCAAGTGCCAGGAACAAGGGGGTGTAAACAAACAGGTTGCTTTGAGCCAATACCCTACAACGTGCACACAATAAAAGGAACATTTCAAGTAGGATTGTGTTTTACGATGTTTGAATGAAAAAAGACATTTGTCTTGTATAATCTTAAGAGTGTTTCCCCTAATGATCACAACGGTTGGCATGATTGTCGTAAATTACAAATAAACATGTTTTTTGCCAACATACGGCCTGTATATTTCACGACCATCCATCATGATATAAAAACAGAAAGCGTGTAGTCAACATGTTTGAAATTCCATTCGGCTATTCTGAGCTGTACTTATACCTGTTCGCAGAGGATTTATTTCACATTAAAATCAATATGGTATACCATCACATTACTTAAAATTAATGTCAATGTTAATTATTTTATAGATATCAGAAGACGCTAATGTGTCTAAATGTGAATACAATACTCAGCATGTCTCCTTCATAAAACATGCACTTATTATTAAATTAACCTTACAGATTACACACATATTATCTGTAGACGAAGATGAGGCTAACAGACGTTGATATCTATATTCTGTAGTCTCTGACATCGGCATGAGTGACGTCCTGTATCGCATGTCACACAGGCGGTAATTGATTTTGACTACATATTTTTCCATGTTCCTTAAAAAACTACCACCTGAGCCTGTTGCGGAGTGTAATATCAGTTAACGTTTTACGTAAATATCAAAAATCATTTGTGTTGAAACAGTATCAGTTTATCACGCTATAGTGAACCCTCGTTAATCGGGACCCCATCCGTCTGGATGCTTGAACTATTACCGTTAGGGCCTTTAAGTATTCTCAAGGGACACTACTCCAGTCATTTGTTAATACGGACATCTGTTAATCCGGATGATTAATCTTGAACCAATAACGTCCGGTTTAACGGAATTTCACTGTATCAAAATCTTGAAATCATTAAAAACATCTTTAGTAACATGTAAAATCGAACCGGTCTCTGTTGATAGGGAAGTGACAAGGTAATATGCTATCACACACTCTATTAATGAAATATACAGACCCACTCTGGACACGGGTGTCCTCTCGTCATCGGTGATTGAACTAGTCCCAAAGGTTACATAGCCTATGAAAGTGATATCATGCTGACGATAAGCACTGACAAGCTACTATCTCGTTTGTCATGCATACGCATGCAAATTTGCATTTGTGACTTCAGATGTTTCCAAACGATCGCTTCTACTGTAAGAGTATGTTATCTGTCGATAGGCTTATTCCAAAGTACATTGATAAAAAAAATACAACCTTGGCGCCTAGAAGGTGAGAGGTCATATATATATATAAATCTATATCTATATATATCTATATCTAAATATATCTATATCTATATATATATTCGAACTCATTGCCTGTCTTATGATTATTTATTTCATACTTATATTAACAGCTACTTTTGTAAATATTAGTAAAAATACGTTTTGTTTTGCCTTATTATGAATACCTACAACTGAAAATACATTAACAGTCTCAGTCGACTATATAAAAACTCATCTCTTCCTTGTAATGCCCATAGCGTGTCTGTAGCTGTCAAAACCCGTCAATCATAAGATAACACTGTTTATGGTGTATATTCCGGACTCCCCTGGACGCGTGCCAGGTGTATATTGGCGGTTATCTCTAATTAGGTACAGCATGAAACGAACAAGACACATGTCGTAATAAAATGCATATATCCTGATCACATGCAGTGAAATTAACATCGCCTGTTGAGAGCGCCCTACAACATTAAACACACTTTCAGGTGTGTAATCTGCAACCTTGATCCAAACGGGAGGCTGATGTTTCTAAGTGGCGTCAAATTTAGTGTCTTATAAAGCGGCTATTGCTTCAGAATTTGAGTAAATATTCATTAGAGTTGGTATCATGTATACCCCAAAACGCATTCCAACGTTGTTTTTAATTAGGTCGTAAAAATGTAATATGTACAGTATAAATAGACAACATTTAACCTTCTATATAATTATGCTCAGTGATGTTTGAAACAGATGCAAACATATGGTTTCTTGGGCCTTATCAAACACCAGGGTCTTTGTCATAGTCAGTGTAGAAGTAATATACACAAGATAGTGCATGAGTAAAAAGTTAAATTATATAGAAAGAGTAGTCTATCATACAGACCCTGAAACAAATATATCCAATACAGCCCATGCAAGTCTATAATATTTGGCAAGTCTAGATTACTGCAGTATCAGTATCTGAAAATGAAGAGAGCCTCTGAGCTCCTTTTTAATATATTTCATAACTATAATTTAACAACTGTTTTTATCCGTAAAATATCAAATTATATGCCATACTCATTTCAAAATCATATTTAATAATGTAAATACTATTTGACAGTATGACTGTCACCGAAGTGTATATACGTAATTGTAATATGATGCTAACCCCTTTCTGACTCACACGAAATTGCGAATCATATGCTAGTCAATACATGAGAAACATGCAGAATTCAATATGGCCTTACTATTGTCCAACAGCATACGTTTGTGTAAATTAATATGATGCATTAATACGATGTTAACAGTGTATGACATATCACGTAATTATCATTCAATATAAACCCCTTTTACACAATTGTAAAGAAAACACTAACCGATCATGTACCAGCCAATAAACCTTTTTCTCCAATCTCTAGATCATAATACACATGTAGTTTATATTTGCCTTTGGCAAAAGCGATTAGATTTGTCAAAATGATATTTGCTAAGACATTTAACCGACATTCAAAGGTTGAAGCATGTTTGTATGTTCGTGGACGCTAGCCCGAGGCGTCGTCATGCACGACTTTACAGCATTAAACATATAAACAACCACGGCAGGTAGTGGGAAGGCTATACTCTCGGGCAAAAAACAGAAGGGGTATATGATGATAGCATTAAGGTACGGCAATGATTTTAACAGTTTTACAGGGTCAAAGGTCACGTTTTACCTTGGGGGTGACTTTCAGTTGTTGCCACGTGAGGTAGAAGAAGCTTATAAGGTATTATATTATTATATGAAAAAAGGTTCAGATATGTGTATTTATGAGCGTCATGGCAACAGCTGATGCTATGTTTTTGTTTCATAATATTGCTATGACTGGTCGTACATCACAGTGTTGCTCACCTAGAACTTCATAGAATATTATCATTCTGATGTTAAGACTATCAGACTATCATGTAACGCTTTGAGTAACCCTTGCGTGGAAACGTATTATTATTATTATTATGATTATTATTATTATTATAGAAACACGTATGTTCTTACTTATTCAGGTATTTTACAGAGGTATTATTATTATTATTATTATTATAATTATTATTATTATTATAGAAACACGTTGTAACTGATTAATTCAGGCATTTCACAGCCGGAAATAGTCAAGATCAGTATCATGTAAATTGGAATATGTAAGAATAAGGGACATCCTATCAAATACATAATGATTTTTTAAAGCTGAGACAATTGTGAAGACATAACATGAGAATCATGCACTGTACGTGTTATCGGGACAGCCTTAGCATTTCTCTACTCCTTCAATACAGGCAATGCGACGCTGCTCGGCGCGACAGCTGCCGTGTTTTAGTTGCGAGAAACTTTATCCATCTACAGGGTGTTTTCACTCCAATAAAAAACATGGTGAAAACGATCCTCAGATACAGGCGCGAGATGGGGCTCTCCAATCTAGGTTTATCGCGAGACTCGAACAGCGGGGTCAAACACATAAATCAGTTAATATGCCCAATTTCACAACCGATTGCTTATCAATCAACGGACAAGCTAAATGTATGAATGTATGATGTGGAAATATGTCAGGGGCTGCGACACGACACATCCACACCCTGAAGGCATATGGTGTTTGCATAGTAGATCTTGAAGGACTGCTTATCTTAACTACATGACTCGTCAAAACTAGATATGAACGAAATAAAAATAAGCAGAATGTTTTAGAAGTCATCAATAATATTCATGAATATACACCAGTGACCCGAATGCCTGATTGACATGGACATGATATTGACCAGGATACAAGGGCTGTAGAGAGTGTTATTAGCTGTCATGGACATGCGGCGATCATCACCACGTGTCGTCACTGAAAGTCGCCGAACGCCGAAACGTCCTCTGAGACAACGCGTCCATATTGTAACACCCTTGATTCATCCTATACTAAACATGTAACTAAATATCAGTCAATAAACAACCAACCTACCTTGCACTGTAACACATAGTCCTATAATGCTAGGAGAGGATTCTCCTTCTCATTCATTTAACATAACCCGGAAAGGATTTCCCACTGAATCCAACTCAGAGGAACAGTTCACAGTTGTGACACATGGCCAACGGAGCGAATCGCTTTATCACAAAAAACGAAAGCACTTTATATGACTGGCTCAATCGCTGGTGTCTCGCGCTACAACACGCCGTAATATCTGCCAGCCCAACTTGGACCCACCTCCCGCTTCTAGGCGGAGCGCTGACTGGGTCAGGATCCTTGCGGGTTTAGAATCCTCGTTCAGAGCGGGAGAGCAGTCTTTGACTGTAGCAGATTAAGATCTGTAGTGCTGCGGTAACGTGGACGCTTTGTAAAATAATCCTTCGCGTCACGCTAAATGCTAGCGTTATTTTTAGCTTCCTCGGTCTATTTTAGCCTATGCACTGTATATTACATCCCGACTCCCCACTTCCTCTAGTGAGGCACTCACATCCAGAGAAGCTTTCCCTCATACATAATCTATAGTTCCAGCTGAATGGCGATGTACTTTTTACCATGTGGGCTCTCAACACACACACACCCCTCCCCCCTTTACCAAATTCCTCCACACAATACTAGCAACAGGTTCATACTATCGAATAAGATAGAATACACTTTAAAATGATGTCATGCGATTTATTATTTAGTTAAGTACAGATTCGGTGTTCGGCTGCTAGTACCTCCACATATATGTTCTTTGTAATAACTGAAATCCTTTAATCCTTTAGAACAATTTAGAGCTAAACATTTCTTATTGATAACTTATTATATCATGCCTCCTATTTATATCTGGAATTCTCCTGTTTTATAACTGACTACAGTTTAACCCAAATCAACTCTTTCCACATGATTTGCACATGAAAAATATATTGGAAAGAAGCGGGACATATTTCAATTATATGTTATTATAAATATTTGCCCACGTCTACTATTACTAGCAATTATAAATTTGACCTTCATATCTGCAGATGTTGGGCCGTCGATTCTAAAAGTAGAGCAGTTTCATAAACTAGCCAGCAATCAACACAGCCCTCAATGAGGACACGTGACTTGTGTGGGGACGAATACTGCTAATTGCATGCATCATGTGCAGTAAAACTCTGCTACGGCCAGTTATATCCGGAAATGATACTTGTTTATATAGGGTACAGTAAATGGTAAAACCGGCTAATTACCAGCATTCCCTTATTATTCTGAAATTTATACATATTTATACATAAACCTAGATTGACCGAAATGTATTAATTTCATCAACGGTTGAACATCAGGTGGATGTATCAAGATACTAAACCGAAGCTAGCTGGCTATAATTAGAATACAACTATATACATTCCTTAATCTAATTACCAGGTCCAAAGCTTTTGTATGTATCCATAAATGTATACTATAAACTCTTTTACAAGTTTATTATAGCAGAAATTGATTGACACGCGATGCTGCGCTATAATAGTGTGGCAAAATGTATCAGGCTTCTTGTCAGAAGGCACATGCTGTAAAATAGCACGAAATTTACTGCTATTTGGCAGCACCGCGGCTACAGAGCTGGTAGTAATTTCCGCGCTCGTTTATCTTGCTGTGCTGATCGCCTATACCTATAATTTTAACGCATAAATGAGCCAAATGTTGAGATATAATGATTAGTGCCTATTGTTTTCAGATCAGATAAGCCCGAGCTCCGCGGGGCTGTGTTGTGAGGGAACCACAGATCGCGATTTAAGTGTAGTTCATTGTTGGTGTGCATTGTTACGTATACAACTACCCCGGGTCGGTGCAGGCACCCGTATTGAATATTAACAAACAGCAGATAGCAAGAACTTGCAGGAATACAATGAATGTACACCCACTAAGACATTTCTTTTTATAATTACCAATTAACCACAATTACCATGATGGAATAATTATTAAAATGAACAACCTCTACCTGGGTGGTCTACGTTTGGGGGTAGGCTTGGACAATTGACAACCCCAGCAACTTTTCTTCTTTGTTTGCCAACTTTTTTTATGCACAGTGGAACTTGTCTAAACCGAACATGCATGAAACCCAATGTGGGAGATGGTGGTCCGGATTAATAAGTTTATAGATTATTAGATTTATCTTTGGGAATTGTCTTCCTTGTGTCAAATATGAGTGAGTGAGTAGTGTTTTACGCCGCTTTTAGCAACATTCCAGCCATATCACGGCGGGGGACTCCAGAAACGAGCTTCATACATCATATTCTTGTGGGGAATTGAACCCGGGTCTTCGGCCTGACGAGCTAACACTTTAACCACTAGGCTACCCCACAGCCCCGTGTCATGTATGAACAAACTTAAAGAAATATTTATTTAAGATTTACCTAATGATAAATTAACGTGGTAGATTCGGGACCGTAAATTTGGTCCGGTATTGACAGATATCCGGATTAGTCATAGTTCGGTTTAGATAGATTCCAGTGGATATTTATCCAGCAGTGAATGCTTACTCTAATTTTCTGGGAGACAGAGTATCAGCTAGATACAAATCCCTTGATACAACAACAAGCCTTAAGCTGGAAGTACACTGGCGTACAGTCCGCCTTTAAGATACGCCCGACCTTCATACCCATCGATGTGACGTAGCTTATTCTTAGCATCCACCGCTAATACTGCTACTACAATTAATATTTATAAAAAACGGTGTTAAACAGATCAACCAGCAATGTTTACATTAGTTTCATCAGCATGTTAAACCGGGCATAAAGGGACTTGCTAAATTGCGTTTAGAGAATCGTCAATACAAACAAATGAAAAGTAAACATAGCGGTAGTCACGTCTTCGTGAATTCGATTATCGACCCTGAAACTAAATTAAACCACGTTACTCCGGATTTCCTGTCCATATTTACCACGGAGGATAGACAATATGTTCGCAGGTTGTGAATAGCCATCACCCAGAGGGTCTGCAAAAGCGTATTTGATGATGGCAACCGAGCCCCGAATGCGTTTATTTTTGAACGAAGTATTGGATTAACTACTGAATGAGATGTGTTTGCATCCACATCAATGTGGATACAGCTACACCTGTATGGAGCATGATGCTTGGTGTATTCTTCTCCAGAAATAATTATACTCGTAATATAATGCAAAGCTTCTACTCAGTTATAAACGATGTTAATATTGTTGTTTAACCCCGGAGTCAACAACTTTCCATCGTTATCGTGCGGGCTGTAAATAATCGAGCCTGGACCAGACAAACCTGTGATTGATATAATGAGCAATCTCATACGCCGGCGGGGTACGGTGATATACAATTGACTAATTCACTGAGCGTGACCACCCGATCAATTAGTCGCCTCCTATGACCAGCATATGTATCCGGATCCCCTCTCGACAATCTTAACGCTAAGATCCCCTCTCGCCGATCTTAACGCTAAGACCCCCCTTCGACAATCTTAACGCTAAGATCCCCGCTCGAAATCTTAGCGCTAAGATCCCCTCTCGACAATCTTAACGCTAAGATCCCTTCGCGACAATTTCAACGCTGAGATCCCCTCTCAACAATATTAACGCTAAGATCCCCTCTCGACGATCGCAAAGCTTAGGTCCGCCCTCGACAATGCTAACACTAAGATCCCCTCTCGACAATCCTAACGCTAAGATACCCCCTCGACAGTCCTAACGCTAAGATCATTTCGCGACAATCGTAACGCTACAACTTCGAAACAATCTTAACGCTAAGATCTCACACAAACCGCACCACCACAATTATCATCAGCGGAGACACCGTTATCAAACCCATATACATGTCCACGGAGCTTGTACACAATCAACAGCTTGCGCCAGGGTATGCATTTGATAATAAATCGCTCCATCAGACGGCATGACACATGCATGTAATCTAATGCCCATCTCTTATACACGTTATCACTGATAATCAAATAAAGATACACCAAGGATACATGTGATGACATCGCCTAATGTTATCTTGTCATTGTTTGTTTAATGTCGCTGTGTATTTATAAACATATTTACATATCACTTCCGTTTGTTTAAACACCACACTTAATTGAGACCTTTCTACAGCTCATTTATTCTATAATTAGACGTTATACGCACGCATTGTCATAGGGACAAGGGCACGTGGTTCATATTCCGCCTAGTAGCTTACCGGATTCTCCTTTATTCGTATGTTCCTGTTGATGACTGAAATAAAAAACGATCGTTCAAGTATCTGCTACAAATTCATATATAATCGGCAAAGGTTAGCGACGGTCTACAGATTGAGGTCGTGTGTCTCAGTTCTGACATACATGTACATGTATCTAGGCTGTTCGCAAACATGTTCTGAAGTAGGGATGTCGGACACTGGGATTTAATTGCGTGCTCGTGTCAAGAATGTGTTTGGTGGTTGGGTGAAGGTGGGATGGGAGAGTTGCTTCCCTTAACAGTGCAAAGATGCGCTGATCGTGTGTTCACCCCGTTTAGGTCACGCCAGAAACCTATGATCGTGGGTTCGAATCCCGGTTCGCCCCGATTATGTTTCTAGGTTTGTCATCACCATACCCGTGCTCGCGGGTTTCACCGAAGTGGTAAACGTCTGAGATCTGCATCACTTCGGGCTTTCCTCCCACATTAAGCTGACACGCCGTGATATAACTGGAATACTGTTAAAAGCGGCGTTAAGCCCAACTCACTCACTCATTCAAACGTGCAAGGCTCTGCATCACTGTAGGCTTCTTCATAGATGACCCGCCGTGATATAACTGAAACTCACCCTCTCACCCACACGCCCACCACTAACTCAGTCAACACTTTTTCAGCTATATCACCACAACTTGTAAACAAACGACTCTGACAATATATGGTTCATACAGAGCACACGCAACGCTTCACGACGTCGAGGTACAATTACACAACCTGCAGATGACACACTGAAACCACCCGCTCCTCATGACACGCATGTGGCTTCAACGCCAAACATGGAGCCTGTTTTCTCCCCGAATCACAACTACGTTTATATCGAAATCGGTTAAATCGATAATACTGAAGTCAATTTCGTCGGAGGAGGAGGCAAGAGAGGGTGGTCAGAGGAATCCTTTGTTGAGAACATCGTTCACAAAAGCCGGGCAGAAAACCCCAAACACAGCCACAATACTTTGACGTATATGTCACCCATATTTCCAGGATTAATAATAGATATATTCTGATACAGAATCTAATGTGGAGGAATTGGTATGTTACGATGTGGGTGTCATGAAGCTATTAAGTGTGAGAGAGTTAGAATTTACTCCGCTTTGAATATAATTTCCGTCACATAACAGTTTTGACCGTTGACGTTTCAAAGTTATCCAGACGGTCAAACCAATGGTCACATTTATCATGCTGTCAGAC